TGAGGCCACGTCTTGTGAATGCTGGAGCTGCAGATGCTGGTGAGGTTCAGGAGGAGAAAGCAATCCTTCAAAGGAGTCCAGGAAACTTGTATGTGATATGGAATGAATGGGAATCTGGATTCGCTGGTAACAAACCAGCAAAGAACTTCACTGCAGCTGAGCGGAATTCAAAGGAAAACAAGTTCGTGTACTGCAGAAGGAAGCCTTTTTGGATGTGTATTGAAAGATTGATAAAAAACAGAGCAGGGACTGCTCATGATGCTATCAGGACAGTACTTGATGTGTACAGACAGGAGAAGACTGTAACACAGATCCTTAAGGCTCTTGCCAAGCATGAGAGGGAAGGAGGACATGCACAGTTAAGGTAGCTGGTTGATTGCTGCGTGCTTCGATTCCTTGCTTCGATTCGGTTGCTTCGATTGCTTCAATTTGGTTGCTTCGATTTGTTGCTTCGGTTGCTTCAGTTGCTTCTTTGCTTTGGTTGCTTCGGTTGCTTCGCTTCGATCCGTTGCTTTGCTGCGATCCGTTGCTTTGCTGCGATCCGTTGCTTCGGTGCTTCGCTGCTTCGGTTGCTTCGTTGCTTTGCTTTGATTCATTGCTTTGCTTTGATTCATTGCTTTGATTCGTTGCTTTGCTTTGATTCGTTGCTTTGCTGCGATTCGTTGCTCCGTTGCTTCGGTTCTTGCTTGTTCATTGCTTCTGTTGCTTCGATTCGTTGCTTTGCTTTGCCTTGCTTCGATGCGTTGCTTCGGTTGCTTTGCTTCATTAAAATAGTATGTTAAGTGTGACTGCTTTTTCTTGTTAGTAGTATTGTTAGTAGTAACTGTGACTGCTTTGTTGCTTGATTGCCTCAACAAGAGGAGCAAGTTGAATAGCTGATAAGATGGCCCATTGTCGTGATTGACAATTGTCGAGAATTACCTTCACGACTTGTGTTTATTTCACAGAATTTGCCTTGTCGAAAATTGTGAGAATATTTCTTCCCAACTGACACCCATCAGTTGAGGGTTTTCGATACTGTGCTGGTGAGTAGGATGTTAGCGAAGTGTACGTACGTAGACTTGTACATGATTCTCTACTGTTGCAAAATTTGTTGCATTATTGATCGGTACCTGCACTGTACCGACATACGAGTAATATGTACAGAAGGCATTGCAATACGTCAAGGTACCGGTACGAGTAGGGTACTACAAGGAGATACCTGTAGTAGCATTTTTATTGTGAATGGTTTCAATTCCGAACGCAACGGTACCGTACCTCGTACCGGTACCGGTAGGGTGAAGACAGAAAAAATCTTGAAAAATATTCTGCAACACGCAACTTCTCAGTAGATTTTGGCATGAAGTACTTCTTACTCTTGTGGCTTCGAGGACTATAACAACAACAATTTCGTGTTGACCCAGATAACAATAGCAATAATATGCAAGCAATGATGCCTTCACAACATCAAAGAGATCTCTCGGTACGGGACCAGGAAATTGCTCGGCTGCAAAATCAGGTAAACGCTCNGTCTAATTAGCCAATCAGATTGCTTGATTCCTATTGTATCCCTAACTCTAAGAAAACGTCTAATATGAAACAAAATCCCCCTCTGAACACCTGTGCTTGGGTACTAGTACTACTACTACTACTACAAGGACTTAAATTTTCAATTTGCAGATTTCCAGTCTGCATCCAGTAGTAGTCACTTTTGAATGGGGGTCTGAGGGTCCTTCAAAAATTGCAAAAATGACTAGATTTAGTCAATCTAGATGTCATTTTTCGTCAGTCCGTCTATCAAATCTAGTCAATCTAGATTAACGAATCTAGATTAACGGGAATGACCCATTATGTTGTACCCGCACTGTACCGACATACGAGTAATATGTACAGAAGGCATTGCAATACGTCAAGGTACCGGTACGAGTACTACAAGGAGATACCTGTAGTAGCATTTTTATTGCGAATGGTTTCAATTCCGAACGCAACGGTACGAGTACCGTACCTCGTACCGGTACCGGTAGGGTGAAGACAGAAATAATCTTGAAAAATATTCTGCAACACGCAACTTCACAGTAGATTTTGGCATGAAGTACTTCTTACCCTTGTGGCTTCGAGGACTATAACAACAACAATTTCGTGTTGACTCAGATAACAATAACAATAATATGCAAGCAATGATGCCTTCACAACATCAAAGAGATCTCTCGGTACGGGACCAGGAAATTGCTCGGCTGCAAAATCAGGTAAACGCTCTTTCCAATCAGCTGGAATCGGCGATGCAACAGCAGCAGCAATTGAGGCGCTATCCACAACAAAGCAGCGACCGGRACAGTAGAAAGAAGAGCCACAAACGAACAAACAAAATGTCACCCCATGCGGTCCATATCCAGCACGTCGATGGTGGAAAATYGGGGRGTAACGTGATACGTACCGGACGCCAACGAATGGGCCGAAACGCTAGCTTCTACACGCAGCGAGTCATGGCTTCGCTGACCATGCCGGAAGGGGAGAAGTATGCAAGCAATCCCATTATCATGCGCATCATGAACATGTTTGAGCGTCCGAATGAAAACGTGGAGTATCTCAGAGGCAAGCTTTTTGCTACTGATTTGTTCAAGCTSTGCCAGAAGGTTAGGCAGATTCTAGAACGAGAACCCCGAGTCGTCTACTTGCAGAGTCCATGTTACATTTTTGGGGACATACACGGTAATCTAGAGGATCTCCATTTCTTCTCGGACAACATTTGGAGACTAGGTATGAACCTCACCGCCGGAAACTTTTTGTTTCTGGGCGATTACGTGGATCGGGGCATGAACTGTCTAGCGGTAGTTGCCTATCTGCTGGCGATGAAACTTCAAAACCCACAAAAGGTCTTTCTGCTTCGGGGCAACCACGAAACACGTGATGTTAACGGATGGGAGGAGCACTACGGCGAACGATCCTTCATCTGGCAATGCCAGGACCGCTTCGAYCGCTTCGGGGGCGACATTGGCTACCGAATCTGGGAGGCATGCAACCAGGTCTTTGATCGGTTGCCACTGGCTGCGGTTGTCGACCAGGATATTTTTTGTGTTCACGGGGGCATCCCACGGCCTGTGTGTATGGGGAATCCCCGCTTGCGGGGCGCGAGTACCACACGCATCCAGGACATTCTCAACGTCCCGAAGGTCGCCGGAATTAATCCACCCTATGAACACGAGGACGATGTCTACCAGCAGGTTGCGTCGGATTGCATCTGGAGYGATCCGGCCTCGGAAGAACAGGAACGCATAAGCGTCGACCCACACACCGGCTACGGAGAATCCCTGCGAGGGGGCGGAGCCATTTGCTTTGGCAACAAGGCCGTGACAGACTTTYTGCAGGAGCAAGGCTTTTCGTACATCATGCGGGCCCACGAGGCGCACGCCGAGGGCGTCGCAGTCAGCAAGGGAGCACGAGTGTTCACGGTCTTTTCGACCAGTAAAGACCACAACCAGGGATCGCAGGCTCTAGCGGGATGCATCCTAGTCGACGACGACAGGCTGCAGGTGATAAACAGGAGCCCGGCCTACAAGAACCAATATGTCCATCGCCGCGATTCTCTTAGTTTGCAAACCCTGAGCCACCTGGAAATCGCCAAACGGATCAAGCTAGGGTTGGTGACGCCCGATGATACCGCCGATTACGAACAATCCGACGACGAAAGCTGGGACGATCAGGCAGCCGAGGAACAAAACCCCGGCGTTGCGAGCACGGGCGGAAGCGACGACGATTCGATAGGGCTTCCTGTGGACGATCCATACGGTTATAGGGAGCTGCTTGGACAGCAAGGGAAGACCCAGCAGGAACAACAGTATACTTTTGCCCAGGGCCGGCGCTCCTCGATCGATCTGTCGCAGATGAGCACCAACCTTCACGACTCGCAATMCGAAATCAACATGGAGCTTAGTGCTTCTTCGATCCGGATGGGAAGTTCATCGCGCAGCCTCCAAGAATCCTTGCGAAGCAACAACGACATCATTCACCAAGCCGTCGCAGAGGGTGAAGACAACAATGAAGACGAAGACTCTACCGTGAACGGCGATGATCTGGACGCCGATGCCGACGTTTCCATGGAAAACTAGAGAAACAAAAATGTCACAACACTTTTATGCCGGTCATACTTGAACCAAAAATCTAGCAGGTATCTGCACAAACATAAATGGAAGGACCCAATCAACGGATAACAAAATCAATTTTTCTTTTGTTGGTTACCGAGAAAGCTATGTGTAGTGACAAACACGAATGGATAAGAGACGCTTGGTACCATGTGCATTCAGCGCAATTATTGTACTAAACATATTTGACTCTATCACACCATTGACTAATCACAAATATTTCATTTTCATTCTAACATGATAGTCAATAATCACATATATGTAACGGATAATTGTTATTCAGTAGGTAATATTGGGGTTTCAATGTCATTTGTTGCAGCGAGCGGACTGCAATCATTCTTCGGCTGTACGGTAGGCAGCATTGAAGTTTGAAGTACTTGTTTGATACCACGCCGAAAAGTTACATAAGTATGCTAAATGTATAAAAATTCCGTAAAAATTTGGATATTCAAATTATTTTCGTTTTCTACATAATTTTGTGATTGTTGGATATTTTTGGCCAAAAATGCACCTGCCGGAACGCAAGAATGAACCATCGTTCTAATGAGTGTGAAGAAGAGCAAACGGTCGTTGTTTCACCGTTACGGATTGGTAGAATTCTTGTCGTAGAAAACTAACGATTGGTTCTTTAGCCGCCTATTTTCTGTTCGCATACGGTATCCACCATAGTCCCATGACTGATCRACCCATCGGTCTTGCCTGGCAACGCAGTGGATACTTACTWGACTGCGAGCCTAAGCTACTAAAGGACTAAGCRGAACGCTAAAATTACACCAGGAGCAACACTCCTTCATATTTACCAAACTATTTGCAAGCAAGGGGATAATCCTAATTTCTCTCATCCGTGGAGCAATCTTCCCCGCTACTTAATACTATGACTACGGCTGCAAGGACGACTGCGAAGTCGTCCTCGCCAGGGCCAGCGCCGTCGTTGTGGACGGCCCTGGTTCGTTCTCCGTTGCTTCCACACGCAACCTTTTGGGGAGCAGGACTCGCGGTTAGGGTTTCCTTTCCTGCCGCGTTGAARTGGTTGGCGTACGACAGCATATCGACACACCTGCTGACCGTTTCGTATCCCCTTTGCGCTACGGTATCCTTGATCCATCGCGACCTCCAGCAGCGGCATAAGCAGCACCAAGCCAACAACGACCACGATCCAGCAAACGTCAGAGCGAACTCCTTGCTCCAGGTTGAACGACAGTACTGGATCGAGTACTGGAGTGTAGGATTTGCAGGCGTGCAATTTCTGCAGCAAGCCCTCGAGTTGTTTCCCTCCTTGCATCGTGCGGGACTTCAGGAGTACYCAAACTTGCCGGTGCTTTTGGCTCAACTGAAACTGATGTTCTTTGTATGGATATTTTGCATGCAGAGCGTTTTGGCGGGGCACCAGAGATTCCTAGGCGGACAACAACAAAACGAGAAATGGAAGAAATTCGTCCCACTAACTTTTCTTACCAAAGCCATCGGGCCCAAGCTGATGGGGTTGCAAATGGCTATCTCCGAACGAATATCCAAGGAAACATGGCAGCGGTTGATTCACAGCAAAGTGCAGCGTGTCCTCGAAGTCTTGGTCATGCTGCAATTCTTGAAGGAGACCTCGAGGGATTATCTGTTGCAACTTTTGGAAGAAGGAAGATCTTTGTTGCTTCTCTCCGTTTTTGCCGTGTTGCCCTCATCGGTCACCCAGGTGGGGATTTTGTATGYCAAATACGTTTTCCCCGCTGCCCGTTCRCTGGTAGCACGGGGCGATGATCTCGAGGTACTGAGTTTGAAATATTGGGTCTTGAACAACCTTTTTTCCCTGTCATTATCGTTCACTTGGTGGCTTTGGTGGTGTGTGCCGTTTTCGACCCAAGTTTTGCTCGGGTTGTGGTGCTTCGCAACCTTTCCATCGACGATTACTTATTATTATTCKTTGATTGAAATGGARCTCATCACATTTGGCATCCTTTCCGGCGAACCAAAGTTGTCCGTCAATAAGACAATGACTGTTCAAGCGCTGAGGCATTTTGTCAAGCGATTGCCGCGAGACAAGCAGGCGCAAAGCTTCCAGTTTGAGATCGACGATGATTCGATCAATCAAAAGAGCAGTRGTGATAATGGCGATGACAGYAGCATTGGCAGCCAGGATACGACAGATTCCGAAAGAGAGAGAAGAAGACAAAGACGTCGCGAAAGGAGAGCYAGGAGGAAACGGGAAGCAGAATCYAAATCAAAGAAGGCCACGCCGCCACCTCCTCTCCTGTCGGAGGACTGCATCACGCAATATGCAAATGATGAACAAAAAGATGATGGAAAGTACAGCTCRTTTGTCAACGAAAAAAGGCAGAGCGAGAGCGACGAAAGAAATCAGTACAGACATTGCAGTACCGWAACTGAAGAGAGAGACACAAGAAACGCTACYCAACTGCAACCYCAACAAGTGGAGATTAGGCATCCCACGTCGATGGTGTCGCTTGTGGATGTTGATTACGATCACTCCTTMTCTCGTCCAAACAAAGTAGAGGAAGAAATGTCATCTGATTCTCTGGCTTCCATGTCGGATGATATCAATRATTTGATACCGGCACCGACTCTATCAATGAACAACGAAATGGAGGATARCGMTATGGTCTCCATTCAAGCTGATGRTTTTGATGATAAGGATGGCGATGATAGCGACAGAGCCCTACTTCCGTCCTTGACAATAGGCTCTAATTATTCTGCTTCGCAGGTACACACTGATGCAAAATCAATGGGCCTCAATATTGCAACGCCAACTGAAAATGTTACCGGGGAGGTAGAAGTTCAGATGAGGACGACACGGGGGCAAGCGAGATCGACTACAACGAGCACGAGACCAACAAGCTCTATTTTCCCAGCGACTTATCCAAGGTCATCGTCAAGAAATAGCCTACYACTRCTGCCATCGGCTTCTATAGAGAGGAGTTTTAGTCTAGTGAATTCGATGTCCATCCCGGAAGAYAAGCTTGCGCCAAAACCAGAAACAAAATCAAAAGCTCACTCCTCCKATAACAATGACGACGGTGATTGTAATGACGGCTTGAATATTTCTGATGTTGACAGTACGTCATCTAGCCTGGTTGACGATACAGAGTCATTTGAAATATCAAATCCATTGGATGGTAATGAGAAGCAATCATCCAAAGCAATYAAGCAGGATTATGTATGYAAAAAGAASCCAACCAAGACTGTAGACGTAGATGAAGGTGTTTCTACACYCCCGCGTCGATCGTCGCGTTTAGAAAAACTTCGCGAATGGCAAGAAGAGAAGAAAAAGATGAGTCCTTCGAAAGCYTCCAAAAGATTGGAAGYAAATGGCGGAAGCAAGCCATCGAAAAAAACGTCATCTTCGACCGCCGAGAAGAAAGGAAAAAAACCGAAAACGCATTCGAGTTCTTCCCCGGAAAAGAAGAAAAAATCCAAAGATAAATGCCCKTCCAAATCTGTTAGAGGATCGGAAGCAACCAATGGAGTCAATGGCAATTCAAGTAGGAGATCTACATCAAAAGCGTCATCTTCGGAGAGAACAAGTGTCTTTGAYAAACCGACGGCCGCTTCACTGASCCGACGAGTTGAGAAGAAGTCCACGAAAACTCCTCGTGACAAAAGTCGCACGCGTGCCACCACAACATCCACTGCCAARGCAGCATCCCCTGGAAAGACTACTAGAAGTAGCAAAAGTAAGGGCGAGGCGCCAATTCCAGAATGTACGGAAGTAGGCCGAGATAAAAACAATTCATTTGATTCTCCTAATCAGAAAGCAGCTGGAGGAAAACCACGAAAGATTCCTAACAGCAGACGAAAGAAAAAAGATATTTCTTCAGTCTTTGGTGGTGTATTGAGTCGAAAGTAGGGATCAATACGCAATCAAGCCATGTTCATCAAATTTTAAAAGAATACAGCAACTATGCTGTACCATGGATTGTTTTATCGAGTGGCAAACCACAAAATTGTCCCTTATGTACTATACTGTTCAAAATAAATATGCACTTSCACACAAGCATGAGTTATCCATTTTTCGTTATTGTGAAATGTTACTTCAAAACCGATTGCTTGCTCGCTGTCTCTTCGTACTATTGTTGGATGAAAGATAAAGTCCTTTAAGCTGGAGGAGTGTAGAAAATTGWGAAGTGTTCTGTGGACCGATAAGTTCAGTACGTACGTAACGGTACTGTACGGTAGAGCAAAGAGTTGAGGGAGGTCGTCAAGAAGCAAAGAGTGAGAATCAAAACTGATTCATTCGGACCATAGCAGGATTACGTAATACGAACGTACTTTAGAAACAGTTTTTAGGGCTGGTGTCACTGATTGGTGTGTGCGTGTTCTCCATCGAAAATTTGGCCGAATCGATTGGTTGATGTGAAATTTGTCGAGTAGCAAATTCACGATGTTTTAATTCGTGGATACGGTACGAACGTACGTGTGTACTTTTACTTAGGATACGGTCGTGCTGAATCTTCTTTTGTATTCCTTTACGTGAACAAGAAGTGTGTACCGATCTACAGTACATGATACGGTACGTACTTCATTCCGGCTCCTGACGACCAAACTGATTATTCAGATCCTAACCATATGGTTCGCTCATGCTAAACTTTTCGCCTCCGGATCCAAACCAATTTTGTTCGTTCTCATTCGAAGGCCATAMAAAATACACTTGTGATGACTTTCAACGATAAATATCGTGCTTCATCACAAACGAATTGACCACAAAGCGCYAAGCATACAAGAATATGATGCTCTCACCTTCAGCCGCCCGTATGGGAGGCGCAAACACCGTTTTTCGTGAAATGGTAAGAAACAAAGGCCGCCGCAGCTACTTGGCTTCTTCGCTGGGTCGCCGTTTTGGCACCTACCAAAAGGCGAGCCCCCTTTCTAGCMATGGGAATCGCCTTCCTTCGAAATCCAYCATCGCTGGTAACCGAAGCATTCTCTCCAATACCCGTGTGGCTCTTTCTTCTRAATCCGAWTTGTTTTCTGCCCGGTGGAAATCAACGATGGCTTCGTGCACYGATTCCGACTCGGATGAAGAAGACGAGGCCGATCTCCAGAATTCGATCACCACCCGAAACACAGTCGGCGAGGGGGCCTTGTCTCACGAAGAGGCCTGGATGATCAATCTAGGGCGGTCTGACAACAACGAATGGCTCACCGGACCCCGTGATCCCGACGAATGGTTCACTGGAAAGCAGCCCAAGATCTGCCCTGGAGTTGACGGAAAGGAGGTTGTCCGTTCCCTGCCTTTGCCACGACTCGATGCGGTAACTCGAGAGTCTGCAATGGAATATTTTGATAATTCGTGGACATTGTATGAGACCCTATTTGCTGGATTGAACGGGGAAGAATATTTTTACAGACCGCCACCGCACGGATTGCGTCACCCCCAAATATTTTATTATGGCCACACAGCCTGTCTTTACATCAACAAACTTCGAGTCAGTGGGGTTTTGGACAAACCTTGCAACGCCTATTTCGAAAGCATCTTTGAGGTTGGAGTAGACGAAATGCTTTGGGACGATATGCACAAGAACGACATGCTTTGGCCTACGGTTCGTGAGGTCCACGAGTACCGCCAACAGGTGTACGAAGTTGTAAAGGATGCCATTATGAACCATCCTGCTTTGGACGATTCCAATGGTCCGATTACCGTAGATCAATCCCACCCKATGTGGGCTYTATTTATGGGATACGAACACGAGCGCATCCATCTCGAAACAAGTTCAGTATTGTTTCGAGAGGCGCCAAAACACTTGGTTCAGGCACCAGCGAATTGGCCYCCTGTCCATCCATCTGCTTACAACGAGACAACCTCATCAAATCCTGTTGAGGGCGTAGACTACCCTTCGAACGAAATGATATCCGTAAAAAGTGACAAGGTAGACTTGGGTAAGCCAGCAAATTTTCCGTCGTATGGATGGGACAATGAGTATGGAGAACGTACCGTTGACGTTCCTGACTTTTACGCTAGTGAACACATGATCACCAATGGCGAATACTATGAATTTGTCAAAGAAGGTGGGTACCGTTCTAAAGAATACTGGTGTGATGATGGATGGGCRTGGCGTACGCATCGCAACCTAAAGTGGCCCTTTTTCTGGCAACAAAGCGGACCAGCGGGATCCCATGAATACAACCTTCGAACCATCTTTGATGTAGTGCCCATGAARTGGGATTGGCCAGTCGACTGTACATACTATGAAGCCAAAGCCTTTTGTGATTGGAAGGTAAGACATTATTAATTGAATACGGAGAGAGAATTTCGGAATGTTCTAGTTTGTGTGATCAAAGGATTTCGAGTGTTCTAACTTGACGGGCTTGATGCTCACTTGTCATTTCTTCGAAATTGTCATTTGCTAGACAAAAAAATATGGTTCTCCCACATCGAAACCTTACCGTATTTTGACAGAGGCTGAGCACCATGTGATTCGTCACAGAGACAATAATCTAGAAGCAGCACGCAAGGATGTGTCGGCTGACAAGGTGATGGTCACRTCAGGAGAAGATTTCCCTGCAGGTTCGCATGGAGCAAACCTTAACCTTGCTTTTTCATCCCAAAGCCCCGTTGGCCAATTCGACCCTTCTCATACCGGCCAYCGCGACACAACCGGAAATGCCTGGGAGTGGACAGAGGATCATTTCAATCCGCTCAAAGGCTTCGAGGTCCATCACGTATACGATGACTTCTCTACACCGTGCTTCGATGGAAAACATTCCATGATTGTGGGCGGATCGTTCGCCAGTACCGGTGATGAGGCATCCGTCTTTGCTCGGTTCCACTTCCGTCCTCATTTTTTGCAACACTCTGGATTTCGTTTGGTAGCCTCTGACGAAGACGCACCCGCCACTCATCTCTTCGCCGGAAACTTTGGGGGACAAGCTGCAGCTCGTGACGCAGCTAATGCCGAAGCAGCAGAAAGCAATCCTTCCAATGAAAGTATCAACGCCAACGACACCAATGTATACGAGACAGACGATAGCTTGCACATGTACCTAGGTCTCCACTACCCATCGTCGGGAGCAAAAGAAGGAGTCTCTCCAATTCTTCCCCACAATCAGTCTCCCGTTCATTGCACGCATTTTCCCCAAAGAGTTGCACGATTGCTGACCTCTCTCAATCCCGAACGCACAACAAATAAAGCCCTGGACATGGGTTGCTCTGTTGGAGGATCCTCCTTTGAACTCGCCAAATCATTCGATCACGTTGATGCCTTTGATTTCAGCCAGAAGTTCATCGATGCTGCCAAGAGCATGCAAGCCGGAGAAAAAATGGACTTTAAGGTGCCCACCGAAGCCGAACTCTTTGAGACGGTAGAAGCCGTTCTCGAACCGGGAGTGACTCCTGAAGTATCGAGTAAGGTAAACTTTTTTGTAGGGGATGCCTGCAAAATCGACGAGTTGTCGTCTGTCAAGGGAAATGGCGGAAAGACAACTTACGACRGCATCATGATGTCCAACTTGCTTTGTCGGCTGCCCGATCCCGTTGCGTGCCTCAATGGGTTGAGTAGCATTGTCAACAAGGGTGGTGTCGTGGTCATGGTGACACCTTTTAGCTGGTTGACGGAATTCACTCCGCGTGGGAAGTGGCTCGGAGGATTTTTGGATCCGGTCACCAACGAAGAAATCCGTTCTAAGGATGAGTTGCAAGCCATYATGGAAGCCAACGGATTCGAGAAAATCCACGAAGAGGAAATGCCTCTCATGATCCGGGAACACGCTCGCAAGTACCAATATATTATCAGCGAGGCTACCGCATGGAAGAAAAAGTGAGAGTATTGGCCAGAAAAGGAAAGTTTGTACTGAACGTGGCACCCTGTGATGTCAATCCAATATACAGTGATGCTGTGTAGCAGAGGGGCGTTTAAAGAGGCAAATACCCCTACCTCTAACTTTGCGTCCTGTTGTTGCTGGCATTACAAACGGATTTTCAAATTTTTCCAAGTTGTAGAAAGTGCAGTGATTCTAAATTCCAAAAGTATCTTCGATTCCATTTTGATCGTCTAGTAGAAGCACTCGTAGGTACGGTATTCGTACTCGTACTCAGCTCTCTTCCATCAGGAAAAGAAAAAAACTTGGTTTTTCATGTTGTAACGGATGGGCGGATAGACAGACCATGGCATTTTAATCAAAAAATGCTGCCAAGCTTCGAACGAGTACGTACGGCACTGCAGTTACTCGTATTCGTACGGGTACGTACCGGTAGTACGTATGGTCCCGCTCAAAACTAAACGACGAAGAATGAAGATCGAATCACATCTTCATCTCATTGCGTCGCACCCTATTCTCGAGAAACACAGCCTTCCATTGTTGCAGATTTGGTGATTCTTGTTTTGGCCCTAGCCAAATTTGTGTGGTCCCGGTAGCTCGTGGTTTTTGTTGGACATGCCGAGGTCGTAGACTTGATCGAACAAGATTCGCCTTCGTCTAGTTTCAACGAGAAAGCCAAAAAACGCACGACAATGCCGTCCTCTGGCAACGCTAGAACCAATTTAAGCCACGAAGACCATGTTTCCACAGCACACGGCAACCAGAGCAATCGATGCGTACTGTTGTTCGACATGGATTGTTTCTATGCCCAATGCGAACGGGTTCGACTGGGATTGCCCCTCGACGTCAAGCTTTGCTTGTTTCAGTGGAATTCTGTCCTGGCAGTCACGTATCCCGCAAGAGAACACGGAATCAAGCGGGGSGATTCCTGGGACGATGTGGCCGCGAAAGTGAAGAAAAACATCCCACACAAGAACAGCAACAGYGRCAGCAAAAACCACGCAAGAAACCAARTCGGTTGTTACACTATCCATTTGCCGATCATAGGCAAAGCCACCGCGCGATCCCCCTCGGAAAGCGAAGCCGACTGTGCCCGAGACGGCAACACCGGCGACGACGGCAGCATCGAAACGAGCTACAGAAAAATGTTTGAACTGTCTCGAGAGGAACAGCTCAGGTGCCAAAGAACCGAAAACGGAACCCGCCGCTTTCACGACCAGGGAAAAGCCTGCCTGGAACGCTATCGAATCGCAAGCATGCGCATCTTTGGGGTAGTCTTGGAGAGTCTACAAAAGCGAATAACCCAACGGAACGGGTACTCGTTCGTATTGGAACGTGCAAGTATTGAYGAGTTCTATCTCGATTTGACGGATTACTGTTATTGTCGGAACCGGAAGAAAGAATGCGAAGGTATCGAAGATAGTCTTGGCAATCGGCAAGAAGACGACAKCATAAACAAACACGRCAAAGGAGATGGTACTGGAATGAACAAAACRGTCGTMGCAGGACAGAAGACGGAAATGGGAGAACACTGCAGTAATAATGGCGGCACCTGCAATCGCCTAGAAATTGCTCTGAATCGAGCTTGCCAGGTCTCGCACTGGATAAGAGAAGACGTTTGGAACACTCTAGGCTTTACCATGAGTGCCGGAATATCTATCAACAAGACCATGGCGAAACTGGCGGCCTCGTATGGGAAACCAAACGGGCAGGCGGTGTTGTTTCCGCGCTATTTCCCAAGCGTCTTGTCCGAGACGAAGATTACCAAAGTCCGAAACTTCGGTGGCAAGCTCGGCAAGGCCGTCCTAAAAGTGCTCTTGGACTACCAAACACAGGAACGACAACTATGGCACAGTGCAAGCGAAAGCGAGAGCGATATGCTGGAAGCATTAAAATCCACGGCCACCATGGCAGACTTGAGTCAGGTTCCCCTGACATTCCTTTTGCAGAGCAAGTTGCTTTCCAACGAATCGGCTAGGTTCGTGTTCTCGGTCAGCCAGGGAATYGAACACGAGGCCGTTAAGAATACGTCGGGTGCACTAGTGAAATCCATCACCGCCTTCAAGTCGTTTTCGGCCACAAAGAGTCACTCCCAGATCTTCGACCGGTGGCTCGCGGTTTTGGCAACAGAGATTCTCGAACGGGTGGCACGAGACACCGCCAGAAACAAACGGTACCCCAAATCCTGCACCTTAAATTATACGTACTATACCACTCCAAACGGTCAACGACCGTCCACAACAATGCCCGGAAGCAGCACGCGCGGTCAACGTCAAAGTCGCTCGCTCCGGCTTCGTTTTCCTTCCGAACGAGAAGGCACGCCACAAGAAAAAAGTACTTCTCTCTTGGAACAAGCAAGAACCAAGCTTGCTCCCGTCCTCAAGGACAATCCCATACGAGGGGTTGGATTGTCCGTGAGCAATTTTGTCGAATCATTTCGTACAGCACCGGGGGGTACTGGATCAATACAGTCCTTCTTTTCAATACCCCCAAAAAATTACATATCGTCGTCATCGATTTCTCAGTTTTGCGCAGCAACCGAAACCAAACAATCGACAGTCGCAAATATTTCCTCAGCAGACGAAAGTCCATCTTTCAAAATGCACGGTGCTCGTGGTGCATCAGCAGCAAGAATCAGGGACACAACAATGAAGCGAAGTCATTCCGATTTTGTGGCAGGATCTTCGTTTCCGGCATCATCGTTGCCTGCTAGCAATCCACTTCCAGCATCGGCACRCAAACAAGCAACTACAGGMAGATTATATTTGCCGAACAATGCAAAATCCGTCCCAGTTCAGAGCGATAGATATCCACAAGAAATAACAAATAATGAGATCAAGACAATCGAAGACGAAGACCTAGAATTTGCTAGGAAACTACAAGCATCTTTTGGTAATTTTTTTTGTTTTTGAAAGCATCTGTGATGTGATTGGCATCTAACATCTTATTTGCTTTGCTGGTAGGGTCTTTTGCGTTGAAGTTTACAAGTCTAACATTAGTTTTCTGTCGCGCTCCAAACAATGAAATCTTGCGTTTACAGACCGAGAGAATTATGCTCTATCTACTGCTAATCGACGGCGAAAGAGTACCACTAACATGAAGAAGACACGACGCATCGATGCTTTCTTYGCGAAAAGATAGTTTGTCTCAAAACTGTCAAGTGTGAAATAAAGACGTTTTTAATATCCTTTGGCCTTCGATATGACGTTATTACGAATAAAAATATTTTTTCATTTCAACATCACTTTAAATAAATTTAAGATGGGAATTTATATGGAACAGGATGGTGGTAGGGTCTAAGAAGGGTGCCATAATACACCGTCGTCGTTGTCTCCTCCAGGTCGTTCCGGGTCGTCTTCGACAAATTTTTTTTGGCCATTAACGTGGTTCTCTGTATTCTCAATCGCCTGGTTCCCCGTTGTGTCTTCGTCTTCGGAGAAGTTCATGGTAAATGTTGAGGTTTCCTCTACGATGTCTTCCCACTTTGAGCACAAGCACAACAAGAGGAAAGCTATGGCAAAATGGAAACCAATAACGGTTAGGCCCCATGCAAGACTAATTCCTATCTGTATCAAAACCGTGAAGACCAAAGGAGGAACAAAAACCCAGATTTGCGAGGCCCAACCACTATTGAATTTAAGACACGAGATCAGGATTGTTGGTGAAAGTTACGCGAAGAGARTCAGAATTAATGTAAATTGAAACCTTGTATAAAATAGAAAAGTCCATGAAGCCACGATCATTTTTTACTTACAAGAATCCAGAAAATTCAGCTTCTTGATTCATTGGCACGCACATGCTGTAAAAGCTGRAGATTTGTAGAAGAAAAGCGAAAGAAAAAGTCATCAAAATAAGGGAATAAGTAACTCGGCGTTGCCCATGTGTTGAAAAATCACGAATCTCAAATCAGATAGTAAAGGAGAAAATAGATAGCGACTTACACATTTTCAGTGGGATAAAACCAGCCCAGGAAAACGCCTATCGTGAAGCCCCAAATATAGCTCAGTTCCTGTATTGGTACGTCCTGAACGGCCCAAACGCCGCCTCCGACCGTGATGGCCAGTCCTAAATTACTCAACATCAGACTAATCTTCGGGTTAGTATACTTCGTAACCATCATTCCAACCTACGTCGGAAAAAACGAAGAAAGAGAATCGTGTTAGGATATACCACAGACTTCAACAAATTGAGGAATGCGCAACACTTGATTAAAGTTCGGTAGGTCGAACTATTCGTACTCACCTTGGTCCCGACAACAACGCCTATCAAACTAACTTCGAAGAAAATACCAATCTTAATCGCCGATAACCCAAGATTTCCATTCAAAAAGATCACTGCCGTAGTACCAACAGCCGACGCAGCAGCTTCGCCAAATACGGTAGAAAGGATAAACCATCTCAAACCTGTTTTATACTTCGTCAAGATGTGTTTCATGGTTTTCAAATTTTGTCTGAATGATGCAAAAATGAGCGAATGTCCATCTTGTAACTTGTGCTTGCTCGGCAGTGAAGGCAGCATGGACCAACATAGCGATAGAAATACGAGGCAAAACGCCAAGACAACCCCTTGGCTGAGCATAGCTGTCTTAACGGTGCCCATTTTGAAGCCGACACTGAAACCTAGAATAACTATATTGACCCCTGCCTGCGCTAAGAACTGATAAAAAGACCATGTCGACGAATATGCATTGATTCTTTTTTGCCCGACTTCTCTCGCCTGAATCAAGATTCCAAATAGAAACATCAGGCAACACATTCGCGTCGGTTGAGGAAGTAGAATCGAAACAACTAAATTTTGCAGCATAAAATTTCACGAATGATGCACACTACAATTTTTCATGATCGATCTCAACCAGTGGATAACGATTCTTTGCTTGGCAATACTCACGACTTCCGGATAATACGCAAAAAGAACCATAACCTGAACCTGGTAAATCATGAATATAATTGCTTGAAGAATAGCCATTATGAACCAAGTTTTCTGAGAAAGAGAGAGAGAGTGGGAAAAAGAAAAAAATCGTACCATGAGAGGTGGCTTGAGCCCTTTTTGTTTTCAAGTTTAGTAACACTTGTATGACCCTCCTTTTCGGCATCGATCAATTATAAGCACACAGATAGTTCATCGGATTTCATCACACCGCAAGGAATGCCCCAACAAAACACAAATACTCACACTGGTGGTACCAATTTGGATTCCGGTAACCAGCGTCAGTATAAACGCTGTTCCAACGCCTACCGATTTGCGGTAGGGAGTGTAGTCAATGATGGCGCCGAAGAGCGGCAGGACAAGTGCGCCCAGGATTCCCGAGACAAAGGCTATGTTGCTGATCAAAGCAGCGGGTTTCATCCCATAAATCTCTAACTGATCATTTACACATTGACGGTCGTCCGGGCCAAATCCCCCGGCTGCTCTACATGCCAAATGAATCATCGAGTTTGCCAAGTAAACATTGGACATGCTAATTGCTCCGCGAGCAACACCTCCATACATGATTCCCTTTGCTTCTTTATTTCCGTGGAACGAAAGACATAGTCGACGCTGTTGATTGCCGTTATCGTCGACCGTCTCTCTTCCTTCATTATGAACTGTAKGGTCTTGGCATCCTATCGATGATGATTCTGTGGGAAACTCCGATGGTTGATCATGGCCAACCATTATGCTTGCAATTCGTCGATTAGTAACAGCTTTCGAAGAAGGGTTGATTCAATTACAAGGGTTCKATAAAAAGAACCGATGCCCCTTAAAAAAAAATTTCGTATCTGACCCTGTTACGAGAGGTTTCGAACCTATGTTCTTCTCGTTGCTCTGACGATACAGTGCGTGTCGTATTGTGCTCTGATATGAAACCTCAAATGCACTACTACTTTTTGAGTTCAAAACCGATATCGATATTTTTGCAGACGGGTCTCGTCGAAAACGTAGTAGATAATGCGACGAGGTCTCGAACTTTTTGAGTACTTCGAATTACTTTAACGTCCGAATCATCCAACTCATACGAGTACCAGTACCCGTAAYACGGTACGATACGACAAATCCTTTTACGTTAGTAGAGTGTTCCCCACTATGTGAATAATTTAGGCGAMCAAATTGTTAAAGATAATTAAGGACCGCGGACGTGGGGAAGAAATAATGCTCCTTGACATTGAGCAATGCATTTTACAGCAATAAAGTTGAACCAATCTASTAAGATCTAGTTAGTTTATAAATGCGATCAWTTGCATCATTTTTTTCTTAATGTACTTCACTTAAGGCATCGTGACAACTCTTCTTAATGGTATTGTTCGTAACTCCATTCTTTGTTGCTATTTAATTGTGAAAATGTTATTAAATGCGTACATTAATACTGTATCTATATCGTTTAGTCGGAAGTGTCAGTTTTTACTTGCGTCGAAAATCTAGATATTTTTTATTAAAGGTACAATACGGTACTGTCCCTGTCAAGSAAACACTACTGTAAGAACTTTCATGAATATTACCATTTAACATCGATATTTACTGTAATTGTCGCAATGTAATACTGAAYGGTAAAATACTTAACGGTCTAGATAAAGAATATMATTACTAATTGATTCCTTCGAAGGCAGACGAACGAAGTGATATCAAAGACTTTTGACAAGGAAGGACTACAGATGTGTGTTTAACAGGGGGGCATAGTCTGCTCCTCGTAAGTTTGTGGATAGCAGCATACCCTCATAGTGAAGTATCTCTTCACCTCTCGTTTTCATTATCGCTATCTCACTATGTTTAACGAGGGGCCCACTAATAAACACAAACCAGATCATACGACACTACAGATCGTSAAATTGATATTAATCATTTTTTATCCATGAGAAAATATCAATAGGAATTTATCGGAAATGATAGTACCATTACGGACAGTTCTTTGTAATTCTCTGGGAGCGATGGTACAATTATATACGCCTATCGGTAAGTCAAAAGTCTCTGTGACATAAAGAAGACACATAGGAACAGTAATTTTTCTTTTCATTGGAGGTATCGTAGGGCAGGGGTCATAATTTAGAGGGGGGCGTGTCGCATCCAAAACTCATATTGGGTGATTCCCGCAAACATATTACTGTACGTGATATGTTTTCGGGAATCACTTTCAGTGGTACAGAAGACACAGACTGCCAGGAATCCTATAAATTGCATGCAATTTGACAAAATTCCACAKTGGCAGGAACTTTGGGATTTTCACTAAACGAGACTGGAAATGGTTAAGTCAAGGATTCCAAATAWAAAATATGTAAATTACATAGTAGTAAAAGTTATTAGTCGTGGGCCCACGACAACCAAAATTTATGTAATTTATATATTTTTTCAAGCCGGCCAGTCTCATTTTTACATATTAATATGTTTGCGGGAATCACCCATTCCATGTGTGTCCGAGATTGGAAAATGTTCCCCCAGGATTTTTTGACAACTTCATTTTTACTCCATAATACTATGGTACTACTAGTAAAACTGTTCAACTAATAAGCAGTAACAAGAACTTYRAAAATATTAATAATAAATTTTGACTATCCTGTCTCTACCAGTTTTTATGAGGATTCTATCAAATTGATTGTTATGCCATCATTCTACTATTGTTAATATACTATGACCAAATTACTACTAGTACTACTACTATTACTAGTAGTACTAGTACTAGTACTACTACTACTACTACTACTAGAGCCGCTAGTAGTACTACTGGAAAAGTAGTCAGCAAAATGGATGAAGGACAGACTGTTCAAAAATTTTGGTAGAGAATGGACTGTTTTCACAAAATTGGATGGAGGAAAGACTATTTCTACTAGAGTTACAGTACTAGCCTAGTAGTACTAGTACCTGTTTTGTTTCATTGCATCAAATCTCAAACTAGTAGTACGACAGACAGGATTAAAATCCAAGAAACATTTACTACTTGACTCCCAACTATAGTATGAGGAGGAGAGATGTGCATAAGTTTGAAAATCAGAGAATGATTGGAAGTGTTCCCTTCTTGTAGCATGGGGTCTTTCTTCAGGTACACTTTATGCAGTGATATGCAGGAGTAAAAATGAAGTTGCCATCAAGAATTCCTGTGGGGACATTTTCCAATTTCAGACATTCATGGAATAATGAAATTCTGATCCTGCACAAGAGAAAAATCTGTCCTGCACCCCAGTATGAAATGGTATGTGGTCTCAAAAAAATACAAATACCAGTTATTTGAAAGTAGAATCATGTGTTAACTGTAGAATTCTACTACCACGCCCTACACCAGCAGGGCAAAAAGGCATTATACTCAACCACCAAAAATTATTACTGGTAATAAATTCACAGTTAATTTTGAAGCCCAGTATTCTAGTACTGATCCTACATAGATCTACTAGTTTTCTGTCACTTTTTTACCACAAACAGCTCAATAAGCTAAAAGAATAAGCTAAACACAACAGCTCCAGAGAGGCCTCAAAGGAGATCCCCTTTGGGCTTTGGGGATATGCTTGGTCATTGTGTTRAGAAGACGAGTGCTGTGCTACATGATTAGAGGCCAGGGGGGGCTGTTTCTCCATTAACAGCCAGTAGTATGGCCATATTTTGCTAGTTTAGGGGACTGGCTGCTGGTTAGAAAATAGGCTACGTCACACAAACHGGTACTATGGTACGTTGTTTTTCCTGGGTACATAAAATAAAATTCGCGCGTGTATTTTGTGATGCTCGCACACAATTATCTGGCCATTTTCCTTGGAACATGTTCTGGTACCACMGCTCATTTCTCATGTGGAGTTYGATGCCCTTTCTCATGCTCAAAATCAATTCTTTTTCAAAGAAAATATTATTGTATTCGGAGACGAATTGTCTCAACCGTTCAAAAATTATCTCAACCATTCAAAAAGTACCATTTGTCCTCACAAAAATATTTTGCTACTTCATCAATTCTGCAGGTCGGTTTTCAATTCCTCTTTCCTTATGCCAACTCTTCGGAGCCCAGCGACAATTTCTCTATTTCTGTCGACAAATTTATTTCACAATGAAGCTATTTTACTATCTAACTGCAAGGGATTAATTTCTAAATGTTTCGTGCCGCTATTGTCATTATTTTCATATCCACTACGTTTCGTTATGATTACTAACGCCGGTGTTCTCATGCAGCCCGTATCTTTGACTTCAGCTCATTTAAGTCATCATTGTCCTACCAGTATTTTTTCTGATCAAAATTTTTCTCCATTTCGCGCAGCAACTTTCTTTTTTTATTAATTCTATCCTCCCTGTCGTCTCCGTTTTCTCTTCTGTATGCCGCCCTTACTTCTTGTTCAATCTCCCCCCCTATGCTTCTTTACCTCTTCTACTAACTTCCCAAACAGCATACGTCCCTCGTAGCTCCAGCCTTCTTTGTTACCTATTCTACTATCGGTGAAACGTTTTCTGGTTTTCTTTCCACTCCCTGAATTATTCCATGATTCGTAGTCATTGTACAAAAACAGCAATGCGAAGGCTTCGTCTGTGGCGGTAAAAACGGAGCTCAGTTTGTCCTTGTGTCGCCTTCGCTTGAATTCCGTTTGTTTAGGGGACMCTGCCCCTAAAATCCTTGTTACAAAGTACTTGAATTCCGGACTATTTTCTCTTCTGTAGCTACTTCTCAGGACGTACATCTCTCCTTCATCTCCTTCTGATATGAAGCAGTTGCCGCCAAATGTGTCTGGTACGTTATTGTTTTTTTGTCTTCTGTTCTTAACAAACAACGATCGTTGATCGTCATGTACTTACCCTTGTAATTTTTCCTCGCCAATGTCTGCGYGTTGTGTCTGCAAGCAGTGATAGCACCGTTGATAGTCCCTCCCCACCTTGCCGCACTGACCTCCAAGCTATCTGGAACCGGGTCCGTACCGAACGTAGTTTCGAGGTTGACCTCTATGATGGCATCTAAAACTTCATCATCAACGGGAAACTTCTTATACTTGAAAAATCTCTCCTTAACGTACGTAACCAGATTATTCTTCATGACCGCCTCATACTGGTTTTTACGTTTTTGTATTTGTCCAATCACTGCATCTTCTTGCCGTCCGTCRTCATTATTTGTTCCCTCAACCATGTTGTGCTGCATTTTACTTGGTATGATAGATATATTAGCTCCTATAGCTCAAATAGGACCAACGAATGTATTCCAATTAGCGTTTTTCTATTGTATTGAATGACGCCAATGGAAACAAGAASTTTTTYCCCTSTGATGCAACAACTTACCGCTTTAGCAATATCTACCTATTAYGTGTGATAATGTGATTTATGTACTAACTCGTTTCTTTCTTTGTCAAGTTTATAATTTTTATTATTTCCTTTGAAGTTTATTCCATTTTGTGACTTCGCGCCAGGAAAAACCTTGGCTTTTTTTGCTCCACGCCACATATATTCCCTTGCCCTGGTATGAATATCAGGTTTGGGTTGGAAATATTCTGGCGCGGTTCGTGTGGTAAGATTTCGTATGATTTGGTACATCCTGTACCTATAGGGTGAAATGAGTACGCACGTATTCTCGTGATACGTTGGATGATTCCCATCCACAAGCTTTCATGTTCAATAACCATGTTTAGTATCTCGGTTTCTGACCAAATGTACCCATCTCTCTAATATCTACTATTGATACCAATGAATCATAGTACATGGATCATCTAAATTTTAACCGTTTCTTCTGACACTTTTTTTCTTACTATTCCTTTCGCAAAATTCAAATTTGAATACAATCCTTATTTGAATTTCTGGTTGGAACGCCAACTCAAAATCCCACGCTACTGCAACAACGATCCGTGTTTTCAGGTCTTTTCCGTTTATTTTATATTTTGTCGTTTCCT